CACCAAGAAGCACAAGTCACCTAACCTAATATAACCTAACCTAATCTAATCGAATCGAATCGAATCGAATCGAATCAAACCAAAGTAGATCTAATCTAACCTTGGTGAAGCTGAGTTGTAATCGTGGTGATGGGTTGTGGTAGAAGTAAGTAAGTGTGTGTGTGTGTGTGTGTGTGTGTGTGTGTGTGTGTGTGTGTGTGTTAATTTCTCCCACGCGTCATACCGTAGATGATTTTCTCTTCCACCTGGGGTGCTTTCAAGTCTCTCTCTCTCTCTCTCTCGTGTACGTGTTGGGTCATTCACGTTTCTGTGATAGTTTCATTATTCAATTTTATTCCTCTATACTTTATTCATTTAGTATCATTATCATCCTTTCTATTGTATCTTAATTATTCATTTTAGGTTGGAATTCCTTTCTTCCCTCTGTTATTAATTTTTTTCATGGTCTCTCATTCTTCTGTTTTTATTCATTCTTCTCTTCATTTCATTCTCTTTATTCTTTCCTTCTATTTTAAAAGTATTTAATTGGGTTTAATTATTATTTTTTTAATAATTTCTTCGTCTTTTTCTTCATAATGTTTCTAAATTTTGTTTTAATTTCTGTTCCTCTTTAATCTTTTCTTTATTGTTCTTTTCTTCTTTTGTTTCCAGGTTATATTATCAAGTCTTATTTTGTTACTATTTTTTTCATGTTTTATTTTTATTTCACTTTGTATATATTTTAATTATTCTTGTTTTTATCTTTTTTTTTCCTTTTCTCGTCTTTTATTTTTATTTTCTTTATATTTCTATTTTTTTGTCTGTGTCTCTGTCTGTCTGTCTGTCTGTCTGTCTGTGTCTGTCTGTCTGTCTGTCTGTATATTTGTGCTTATTCTTACTAGTACATTATTCTTATATCATCGTATAACTAATGTATCCATCACATCATCATATTATGGGAGAAGGTGTGGAAAGTGCCTTAGGAGAGTGTGTTGGGAAGGAGTGTGTTGGGAGGGTGTGTTGGGAGGTGTTGGGAGGGTGTGTGGGAGAGAGGGTGTGTTGGGAGGAGTGTGTTAGGAGGGTGTGTTGGGAGGGTGTGTTGGGAGGTGTGTTGGGAAGAGGTGTGTTGGAGGGTGTGGGAGGGGTGTGTTGGGAGAGTGTTGGGAAGGGTGTGTTGGGAGGTGTGTGTTGGGGAGGGTGTGTTGGGAGAGGTGTGGGAGGGTGTGTTGGGAGAGAGGTGTGTTAGGGTGGGTGTGTGGGGGTGGGTGTGTTCAGGAGGGTGTGTTTGGGAGGTTAAACAGGAGGTGTATTTATGAGAATTATGTTAGGAAGAGTGTATTTGGAGGGTGCATGTTGGAAGGGGTCTGTTAGGAGAGGGTGTGTGGGAAGAAATTGTGTTGGAAGGGTGTGTTAAGGTGGGTGTGTTAGGGAAGGGTGTGTTGAAAGAGGTGTGTTGGGGAGAATTATGTGAAAGAAAGAGGTGTGTGCTTACGTATACAAGTTATTGTGTAGTGCTATATAATATACTATTACCTTAAAGTATCATAGAAAATGTTTTGTTTTATAGTCAACCAAGTATCTTTTTTTTTTCTTTTAAGTTTCAGTCTAGAGTACCAAGAGTAACCGTGTGTTTTACTGGTATAGCTCCTGGTGTGTGTGTGGTGAAACTTTAACCAGGGGGTGTGGTGGTTAATGTCTATACAGCATATGTTCTACTTCCACCTATACAAATCATGGTTAATGTGACTAATGTGGCCAGAATCTGTCACAGGGTGTGGTGATGAGGCCTGGTCAAATTTTTCCCGTTTAATCGTGATATTATATTTATTCGTAATGCAGACGGACCCGGAAAACACACACACACACACACACACCACACAGACACACACACACACACACACACCACACACAGACACACACACACACCACACACAGACACACACACACAATTTACACACACACACATACACACAGACACACACAGACACACACACCACACACACACACACACACACACACACACACACACACACACACCACACACCACACACACACAGACACACACACAGACACACACACACACCACACACAGACACACACACACAGACACACACACACCACACACAGACACACACACACACACCACACACCACACACAGACACACACACACACACACACCACACACAGACACACACACACAGACACACACACACAAATTGAGGAAATTTAAAAGAGAAGCATTGTCAGTTCTAAGGAGGCTTTGTCCCAGGCGGCCGGGTGTGCTGGGAGGGTCACCGCAGGCCAACACCGCCCTCGGCACAGATGAAAATGGGCTGATTTTCTCCTGTCTAGAGCACCACACGTGCGAGGGTGCAGCCCCCCCACGCCCTTTCTCCTTCTGTTTATACTCTGCTACCTGGCAATTATTTTCTTAACTACGTCTTGTTTACAGACTGAATTATATGCGAAACACGAAAGGCTAAAGAAAAGGGCACCAAAATTCTGACAAACTTTGTATATTTGAAAGATAAATTACGTCTTAACATGAGATCATCCTCATTACCGCTCGTAAGTGCCCGTGAAATGGAATTTTCTGCCCCGTGTGTGAGGAGTAACCCCGTGTGTGAGGAGTAACCCCGTGTGTGAGGAGTAACCCCGTGAGTGAGGAGTAACCCCGTGTGTGAGGAGTAACCCCGTGAGTGAGGAGTAACCCCGTGAGTGAGGAGTAACCCCGTGTGTGAGGAGTAACCCCGTGTGTGAGGAGTAACCCCGTGTGTGAGGAGTAACCCCGTGTGTGAGGAGTAACCCCGTGAGTGAGGAGTAACCCCGTGTTTACCATCTTAAGCCGTCGGCGTATGTGTACTGTACCTCCCGGAAGTAGCGTGAGTAATGGTCTCTCATGTCGACAGCCTGTAGCCATATGTACAAAAGAGCACTAATGACCCATACACCGGGTTTTTATGGTGTGTTTCTGTAGCCTCGGTGATGTTGCTACACGGGGTGGTACTGGGAGCTTGGTAGTCTCTGTGAGGTGGCCCACCTTGATAGCCTTACTAATATCGGTAGCCAGATATAGTGTTGAGACCGGTCAGTTTTTTTTTTTAGCCAGATAGCCTTATTGAATGTCGCTGGTCAGATTACATTGTTGGGACTAGTTAGTTTTTCGTTTAGCTGCTTGTGTGCGGGAAGACAAGGTGATATATTTTTTTTTCTTAGTAACCTCGTATGCTCCTGGGAACGATAACCTGTGAATATAAATGAAGTGGTTTATGACATATTGGGAGTCGAGTACAAGGTGTAGCGCGTGTAGGAGGTAGAGGCAATAGAGAACACAAGGCAACTATTTTCTCTACCTGGTGTAACATCTTAATCCCGTTATTATTTTTGGAGAGAGAGAGAGAGAGAGAGAGAGAGAGAGAGAGAGAGAGAGAGATGAAGCAGGAGTAGGTTAGATAAGAGTTCACACACACACACATGATATCATTAAATTAACTGAAACCTATCCCCGCACCTGTTAACATGGAGCTTAATGACTGTTACAAACCTTGGCTGGCTGGTTCATGTAGCTAATGCTGACTTACATAACATAGCATACTTGTTACTCTACCGTGCATTCTTTATCAGCACAGATTACTTATTGCACAGTGTACCTTTTCCTCATTACATATCACAGCTTAAGAGCAACAGTAATTTACCTTAGAGAAACAAGCGGCTACATTGGGTCAAATTTCACACAAGTAATATTAGACCTCAACCTAACCAAACCATTAAGACTGGGGCCTACATAATGGGTCCTATCCGATAAGCTTATGGTGGGGTCTTTTAGGTGTGGAACCCATGTAGCCAGAAAACTGCTAAATACAGTACATCAGGTTTATGTTGATGCAGTAAACACGTGGAAAGATTTGATAAACTGTTTAGAGAGGTGTCAGGGGGCAGCACGAGGCTCTGGCCCAATATTTACTACCGTTTCATGTCTCAGTCTTATGAGGGAGGCGTCACCAGACTCTCCTTCCCTGTTGTGCAAGATCAATATAATCAATCATGTTAACTTGGGTCAGTGTTTATATTCCTTTTCTCTTTAGGTTTTTGCCGGTTCCATTGTGATGTTGCCTAAAGGTATTCAGTTTATTACACATCGGGTCGTTAGTAGATAAGGGACCCTAGCTTATTATACTTTTAAGATTAACCTAACATAACCCCTAGGTAACGTAAATTAAAAATAATCTCGGGGGGAGCTAATCTTCAGGTGATGTCGTATATTATATAACCTTCACGCAGTATTTTTCATAACTTTTGGCGAGGCTGAAATGAGGAAGGCAGCCAAGGGGTCCTGGAAGCGACGGGGCCTCCGACTTGTTCACAATACGTCGTCCCAGCCAGGCGACCTTGTAGTGGTGGTAAGGGAGTGCTGGACTTGGCCTACCTTGCTCTTACGTCATCAGAACCATGTTATTTATACTCTGTTCTGTAGTTCTTGGAGCGAAATTAAGTTATCTATAGGATGTAAATAAATAAATCTATCACTGCATTATCCTGAAGTATGAAGAGAGCGTTAGTACTGCTGTGTGTGTGTGCCGTGTGTTTGGTATACTGTTGTTCGTGTCTGGTCAGTAGTGTTCGTGACCGACGGCTGAAGGTAAACCTGTATTTGTGCCTCTACACTTGTCGCTTAGTTTTGGCATCTGCAAGTTGAGTTTATTTTTCCTCCTGTTAGTTTACCCTCCAGTTAGTACACGAGATATTGACCTTTTATTCGTTTTGTATTGTGGCGGTGTTGGAGTTCTTGTGGCTATACAGTAACATTGTAGGACACTCATTTGACTTGTTTGTGGGTTTTGGTTGGGATTGTTTATGGTGTATTGTTATTTGTAGTTTTTTATGTTTATTATTTGTTTGAGGTTTTAGTTGTGGTTTTGTCATTAAAGTTTTTTCTACGGATTTTTTGTGATGTTAATATTTTAAGAAGTCTTTCTACTGTTCTTGATATGATTTATTAATTTTTGTTCCTTCTTTACAGACCCGGTGAAGGCAGCGCGGCCAGGTGGACCGACCAGTGGGCCGCGCGGCCCGCACGTGGGCCACAATGGGCCGGGCCAGCAGCATCCAGTGCCGCATGCAGACCAGCTGCGGCGCCTGGAGGCCGAGGTGGCGGCTCGGGCTGCGGAAGTCAAGGCGGCACGGGCGGAGAGGGACCAAGCCGGACGCGGCGTGGAGGCCCTCACAGTCCTCCTTCACCACCTCACCAACACGGTCAGTATTACCTCACACTTGATCTCTGGTGGCAAGACAGCCGATATACTAAAGCTGTAGCCAGACATCGCAATTGGTACCTAATAAAATTTCTATGTACCGACGTAAACAAACAATGTACTGGAAATACTCTTTACACTCAATGCCACTGGGGTCTGATAAACACCCTTCTACTCTGTAATCTTTTTTTTTGTGCTACAGCTCACAGGATGAATATGAGGTGCACAATAAACTAGCTGTTATCCGGGGCTTAATTCAGTTCACCCATTACTCCCCAACCACTGTGACGACGTCCCCTCCTCACACACTGTAATGTTTAAGGCATCATCTTGCACCATTTCTCACCATCTTCCTTCATCCTCGAGAAAGAAAATTAAAAAAAAAATTCATTCAAGGAGCCATTATGCGACGTGCTTCTACACTTAATGTCTGGATTCTCAAACTTCGCGAGTAAGTTTTCTCTTAAAGTGAGCTATTAAAAAGAATTCTGTTTATAATAACATTAACACCTTGGCAGAAATGAGCCCCTTGGATGCCTTTCCACGCCACCAGTTAGGGGAGGGAGTGAGAGTGGGAAGATGGAGGGATTTTTAACCTAAGCATTTCTAGAACCTTGACTGTGGTATTTTATAATAGAGTGACAATAGAAAATATATTTTAAGTTCAGATTCAGAGATAAAAATGTTCCCTTACTGATAGGATCATAGGATTGTGACAGATCTTGAAAGTGAGAGTAGAGGCAGGATGAAGACAGTCTCATCTCACGTTGTGCCACATCCTGGGTGCATAAAGAACGTCTGGTTTAGAGAGATGTTTTATCACTAGCTTCCCGGATATGATGTATTTTATGCATTGTATAGACTGAGAGATCCGGCTGGCTGCTTTGTGTTTGAGTGCGTCTTTGGAGTGGTGGTGCTTGTCAAGTGCCCGCGCTGCTCCTCTCTCATCTTATACTCGTACAGCTGTTTGGCGGTCCTCCTGGGTCTGGGGTGTTACTTCAATGTTTATATGCCTTCCTGGGTCTCCTGCCATCCCCCCACACACACACACACACACCTCGATTTGTTGCCAAGCTTGGGGAACAACCTGACCAACCCCACTGTTACTGCTGCTGGTCGCCTGCAAACTTCCATACATTAATTAATAACTTTAGTATAAAATAACACATCTAACTTACCTAGTCCTTGTAATTTTTTAAAGTTATTTAGTTTTCATGAATTTGACGCCTCCTCACATCTACAGTAAGAAGGAAAACATTAACATCTTGAGAAAAGTAAAGAATAACTTAGGTTACGAGCCTAAATAACTACCGACCCCACAGGAATCATTACACGGGGGATATAGAAAATACTGACGAAGGATAAATAAACAGTGGAGGGGAGAGTATATCCTGGTAAGATGGAGGGAGTTGGCAATAAGTTATAGAATAAGTGGCAGGTCTCAGGTTATCTTTAGAGAGAGAGAGAGAGAGAGCTGGCTGATGGTCTGGTATTACATCATGGGGCCGAGGTTATAGTTGGTACTGATCTTGGCTGTAGTGTTGGCCAACCTGCTGGACACTCAGAGATACAGTACACAAGACTAGGGGCATTTTACCACCACCTTGCTGTATCCCCACACACACACACACACACACACACACACACACACACACACACTAGAGCGCCCCAGATCACCCCTACAGTATTTTATCCTCTTACTGCTAGAAAACACTAACACACGGACACGTGCACGGCCCTCCCTCCCAGCACGTGCACGGCCCTCCCTCCCAGCACGTGCACGGCCCTCCCTCCCAGCACGTGCACGGCCCTCCCTCCCAGCACGTGCACGGCCCTCCCTCCCAGCACGTGCACGGCCCTCCCTCCCAGCACGTGCACGGCCCTCCCTCCCAGCAGCACGTGCACGGCCCTCCTCCCAGGACGTGCACGGCCCTCCCCTCCCAGCACGTACACGGCCTCTCCCAGCACGTGCACTCTCCTCCCAGCACGTGCACGGCCCTCCCTCCCAGGACGCAGGCCCTCCCTCCCAGCACGTGCACGGCCCTCCCTCCCAGCACGTGCACGGCCCTCCCTCCCAGCACGTGCACGGCCCTCCCTCCCAGCACGTGCACGGCCCTCCCTCCCAGCACGTGCACGGCCCTCCCTCCCAGGACATGCATGGCCCTCCTTCCCAGCACGTGTATGGGCTTCCTTCCTGGCACGTGTACGGTTCTCCCTCCCAGCACGTGCACTACCCCCACCCCCCCCAGCACGTGCCACTGTACAAACGATGCGTGTTGATGAATGCCGTACATGTGCCAAGATGGTGCCGCTCCGGTGGGTCCGTCCGTCCGTCCGTCTGTTTATCCGTCCCATATACCAGGTGTCTATATTGTGTAATCAGCTCCGTCCTCAGTGTTCACCGGATTTATTTAAAAGTTTGCTCTTCTGTTGGAGGCTGACTGTAGACACGTTAGTTTTTTTAATATAAACTTATCCTTCGACCAGGTAGGTGTGTGTGTGTGTGTGTGTGTGTGTGTGTGTGTGTGTGTGTGTTTTATACGTAGAATGACAGTCAAACTCAACATACATTACTCGTTGATAGACCCACCTACCTCCAGAAAGCTGCTGCTGGCTCTCCCAACACTAATATTTACCCTCACCTGCCACCACTGCTACTGACAACACCACCCCCCAACTACCACGACGTCATGCCGTATATTTATCCCACGAAGGATTTTTTTTTTTAGACCTGTCCCTGGTTCCGAGTTTACACCAGTTACCGTCCCACGAAGAAAGTTTATATTGGACACGCTGTCACCACTCGTATAAACTGGTGGTGGTTCTCAGTGCGCTGGGAACGTTTATGGGATATCTTGAGAATTTTTTTTCGTATTTATTTTTTATGGGGTTTTGATAATTCTACACTTGGAGTTATTTTGGTTGATCTGGATGTATGGTTGCTGGTGATGTTATCTTGGTTGATCTGGATTTATCGTTGCTGGTGGTGTTATCTTGGTTAATCTGGATGTATGGTTGATGGTGGAGTTATCTTGGTTGATCTGGATGTATGGTTGGTGGTGGTGTTATCTTGGTTGATCTGGATGTATGGTTGCTGGTGGTGTTATCTTGGTTGATCTGGATGTATGGTTGCTGGTGGTGTTATCTTGGTTAATCTGGATGTACAAGGCCGTCCGTCCATACGCCACTCCTGACTGTTCTGACACACTTACCTGTTGCCATCATATTTACCCTCTTGTCACACTACTTTGCCCTCTGTCACACTACTTTACTCTGTCACACTACTCTGTCACACTACTTTACTCTGTCAATATAATGGGTATGTGTCAGTTAGTGCCTTGTTTGTGGTGAGGGAATTAAACCTTGATGATGGTTCGCACGGAAGAGGAGATGAGAAGAAAACATTATTATAAATATTCGGTAACTTAATCATCAGACAACGAAAGAAAATTTATAAAAATATATGTGTATGTGAAAGTAGCATAAATACATGAAACAAATTTGCGACTTTTTTCGTGTGTGTGTGTGATTAGGAAGAACCACCAAGGCTACAACGCTCATAATTAACACGGCAACGTATCCTCCTTAGGGGCGCCCAAGTCAAGGTTGAATTTGCAAGTCCTTGACCAACCCTTCAAACGTCAGCTGAGCCTTTTAAGTGCCGTAGCTTCCTTTAAGGTAACTCATTAACACACTACAGTTAACTCAAGAACATTATTAACAAAATTTAATATGAGTTACAGCATGATACATAATGTTAGTAAATACAAAATAAATTATTGCTGTATTTTCACATTATATATTTTAGTTACGTAATTAATCTTGAGAGTATAATGTCACGGTGTTCAAGGCGTTCACAACCTGTTATACTGCATTGTCTTCCTTACGAGAAAACAGATATTTTCTTCTATCGACGAGGTAGGACTGGTTACTGTCGATGCTAATGTGATGGTCTGTTAAGATAAAGTAATGAATGACCAGCAGGGCTCTTTTTATCTTCCTCTCCCGGTGTGTATGGGGTCCCAGGCAGTATTAATTTGTACCTCAGGGCCACGTTCATGGTAATAGGTCTGGTCAGTTATGTGAAGAGATGCCCCAGACGAGGTGTTCAAGGTGGACTGGAGGGCAGAATACAAGCTAAATTTACGTTTATCTTAACCTAACCTAACCTACTCCAACTTAACCTAACCTAAGCCAACTTAACTTAACCTAAACTCTCCTAGTGTAAACCTGATCTCTTCCAACTTAGATTAACTAAATACTTATACTTAACCTAACTTAATCTACGTTAATTTAAAACTTACTTGAGGGGGGGTTGGTGAGAGTCTTGACGTGTGGGTGACTGTCAGCCGCCGGGGTGTTGTGTTGAGATCGGTATAGGGGTGTTGTGTTGAGAGCGGTATAAGTACAGTACTGTGTGACGGGAGGAAGCGTGAGGTGGTTAGTGGGATGGACATAATGTAGGGGGAGGAGTGGGGTCGGGTAGGAGGGAGGGGTTCATCCATCACACCTAACAGCCACTTGACATACGTGTAGCCAGCGCTTGATTTGACATCCAGTGATTTATTATATGGTATTGGATGTCGTAAATATATTAGAATTAAACTCGTATTCTTCGTAAGACTAAAATTTTATGAACGAAACTCTATTGTTTTTTCTAAGAGTTGATTACCCATACAGGACTTGACTCTCCTACCTCACTTGAGATGACTGACTTGAGGGGATTTATTTATTTATTAGTTTTTTTTAAGTTATGCAGTCAGTAGAAATAGTTGAGCGCCGTTAAGTGTTATGATAATGGTTGTAGTAAAGTGTAGTGCTGGGCTGAAGGAGGAACGAGTTTATGGAGATGAATAAGATGAGTTATGATGGGTGGGATGAGTGATGAGTGACGACCCTTTCACCTCTGACCTCTGCACCGTGAGCCCCGAGGCCCGCCGAGTGGCATTCACAATGGCTCCCCGCCGACACAATGTTTCACGCGTGAGGCTTTACCCACTG